ACACCCTATCTGGATTTCCAGCAGTTACCTCTCACATTCTTATAGCATTTATTTATTCTATCTAACAATGCATGCCCTCTATTTCCTTTGTACACTGTAGCTCTGGTTAAATTTATATTTTCCCCCCACACCTTGGGTGACTGGTCTAGTTCTATATTGTCCTTTCCCCGGATATTTTGACTTCTTAAAGTATATGAAGTTTTCTCCATCTCCAGATTTGTTATTGTAAGCTCCATTAAATCTTGCTTTTCTTTCACATTTTGTGATTGCTGCTCTATTTCCTCAATTTTAGTTTCCATCTTATTAGTCAGAGTTGTTGAGATTGTAGTCTCTTGTTTATTTCCAGAGATTTGTTTTTTAATTTCATCTGTTTGAGTTGTCAGTTGGGTTGCCAACGCCTCTAGTTTTATTTGTATTGGTTCTATTGCTTTAGCAATAGCTACTTCTACTACCACACTTACTGCAGCTGTTACCGATTCATATATCAGCTTTTGTAGGTCTTCCATATTTATTTGTGTTAAGTTCATTAAGGGTGGTGGAATCAATGCTGTTCTAACTCGACTAGCTTTATCCATTTCCTTTTAATTTACTTATCTTTGGGTTTCCTGTTTATACTATCTTCATTCTTCACTGTCTATCTAAACTATTTACTACTATTACTATCTATACCTATATTGTCTAACTAAAGAGGCTACTATTATCTATTCTATAGCTATTCTATAGCTAATATCTTTATACACCTTTACCCTTATACTATGACCCTTATTCTATCCTATGCTTTCTTATTCCTTAGTTATCCAACCTTAACTCTGCTCCAAAAACTTATTAATCCACACATCCTCAAAAGAAAGGAAAAAGAAATAAACACTTTTCAGTCCTCCCCCTCCCCCAAATCTTGTTTCTTCTTTCGTCTTTCTTCTGTCTCTCTGTTCTTCTATCTGCCTTATAGTCTAACCATCTCTGAAGGGATATTTATATTAAAGCGTTCCAAAAGGTTGTGTTCATAGTTTATTCCACTAAATCAGCAAATCAAGTTTGAGTCTGTATCAGGAAATATGGCTCATACCAGCTTTCCTGCACTCCTTTTCACCGAAGCCACGTAAAATGGGGTGACAGGCAAGCACAGGTACTGCCAAAAGAGAGCCATTGTTAATCTTTCTAAGCTTTATTCCATCCAGCAATATAGTAATTGGGGCTTTCCAAAGAAACACACAAGTTGTCAGGAGTACCCGCCGTTCCTCAATAGTCACAAACACTATAAAGGTAAAGGTAAAGGTTCCCTTGCTCGAAAGCCAATCGAATCCGACTCTAGGGTTGCGGTGCTCATCTCCATTTCAAAGCCGAAGAGCCAGCGCTGTCCGAAGACGTTTCCGTGGTCATGTGGCCGGCATGACTAAACACCAAGGCGTAAGCTTTATTCCATCCAACAGTATAGTAATTGGGGTTGTCAGGAGTACCCGCTGTTCGGCAATAGTCACAAACCTTAAATGGTTCCACCTTAAGTGTTCTTTAAAAAAAAGACAAAAGGAAACCGTCTTTGGGTAGGCTGTGGACTTTTCTCCACCGCTTTTCCCCTTTAAATGCCACCACCTTCCATTTTAACACATATAGGTCTCCTAACGGCAATTCCTCTTCATATTAATTAAAGGGAAGAGTTCATATCCATAGTCAAATCATAAACTGGTTTCAATATGCTCACTGTGTTTTATCTCATCTCTGGAAGACTCTGTGCAGGTTCGCTGGTCTTCGGCTTTCACCCAGTGTTGGCAAGCACAACGCTGAGTGTCTTCCCCGCCTCCCGCATCGGAGCAGTTTCAGTTCTTGAAGGTAGCCACCGCTCTCTTCAGTTTCCAAAACAAGCTCCCTGCTGCAAGCTCTCACTCCAGAGAGCTTGTTTGGGTTTCAAGAACACTGGGGGTGCTCTTGGGTGCCGGGGGGCAAGGAATTTTGGTGGTTTTAGCAGGGAACCCTCCCGCCTCCATCCGCCGTTGTCTTGACCGGAACCGGATCTCCTCTGATCCATCTAGTCTAGCATCCTATCTCACACAGTGGTTAACCAGTTGCTCTGGAGGGCCAAAAGCCAGGGCATAGAGGTCAAGGCTCTCCCCCTGATGTTGCCTTCTAGCATTGGGTTTCAGAGTTTTACTTCCTCTGAATATGGAGGTTTCCTTTACTCACCATGGTGTAAGAACATAAGCCCTGCTGGATCAGACTACTCCATCAAGTCCAGTATCCTGTTTCACACAGTGGTCAGATCGTTTTCCCTGGATGTGCTGTGGGAAGCGGCATATGCTCCAAATCTAGTTCTCAATTCGTTCCTGTTACTCCCTCTCTCCCTGTTACCCATGTATGTTGATAAAGCATTGCCCCAAAGCAATCTGGATGTGACTGTAGATACAGTTGTATAAAAGTTGTTTTTGTACAAAAGTTTACCAATGTTCACATGCACTTCTATGCATTGGTGAAGCACTGCACAAAAATGATCCTTATACAGCTGTATCTACAATCACATCAAGACTGCCTTTTTTACATTATGTGGTCCATCTACTTACTGAATGCTCTGTGGCTGCAATCACACGTGCCTTTGTATCTGACATAGGTGTGAATGCCTGATGGATCTAAGGGGAGTGATCAGAAAGCAACATCTGGGAAGTGTCCTGCAGCCTTCGGCAACCCATGCTGCTCTGCCGCAGAAGCAGAGTTAAAAGACACAAGAGAAAGTCCAGTAGTAAACAGGTTCTGACAGGCCACGGACAGACTTTCCCCTGTCTGATCACTCAAGCACATTCTCAAGCCATCAGGATGGTCTGATCAGGCCATCCTGGCTCGGTGCCGTTTCCCCACCCCCCCCCGCAGTTTGCGCATCATCACATACTCCATAAGGGGGCCTTCAGTGCAGAGGTGTGATTCATCGTTTCTCTGCATGGGAATGTGCATGATCACAGAGTGATGGGCTGCACCCACAGCTACAAAGGGAGGTGTGATCTTGCAACTGCATGTCAAATTCCTCCGGAGGGAATAGCCTCGCTTCCCCTCCACTTCAACTGGCGCTTGTGACTGCAGCCTGAGAATGTTAAGGCTTCAAGAAGAGTGTGTGATGTTAGGGTGGGCCACTTTAAATGAGGCAGAAAGTAGAGGGTTGAAAGCCCCCAATGCCCAGATGGCCTTTGGATGCATACTCACTTGCTAGAGAATGGAGGAACTCTTCCTATCTTTTTTTATGCAGTATGCAGGGTGGGAAAGGAAACAAATGTGTGGCCACTTAGAAAACTGTAGAAGGGATTAGACTATCAGTGGAGTATATCTATGGGCCGTAATAGCTACATGGAATCATCAGTTGCTGTGGAGCTGCAGTAGAAGGAAGACTTGGGCTTTTTAGAAGCTTGTGGGCTTTCTAGAAGCATCTTGCTGGCCACTGAGAGAAACAGGATGCTATAGGGGATTCGTGGTCTAACCTGGATGGCTCTTCCTGTGTAAGAAAGAATTGTGGAAAGGAAACACTCTAGAGAACACAAGCAAGAGGAAAAATCCTTCACTGTCTGGCACTTTTTTCAGTCCTTTCCACATTTGCCTGCCAGTCCAGATTTTCTCAGTGTTCGAGCTGAGGTAATTTAAGTCCACAGCAAATTAACATCCAAATAACCCGGAGCAACAGCAGTCTGAAACCGGGCTGGCCACTGAAAGGAGGTAATGTAAAGCAGAATGGGGAAAAGACCCAAAATAAAAAGGTTGAACTCGATTTTAGTGCAGATTGGGGAAAAACCTGGATTAAAAAGAAGGTTGAATTTGATTTTAGTGAAGAATTGCTTGGAGGACACCACGGTGAACATGGATTAAAGGAAGAGTGCAGAAAGGGCCTTCGTCTCCCTTCCTGCCCATCCCCACCACACCCAAATGAAGGCAAGAAGGGACAAACCAGAACACAGAGCAAGGGAGGAGATTTCTTTTTGCCTTGCATATGCTTGTCACTGCCTTTTCTTGATCTCTCACCATCTAACACCGCATACACTTCATTTTGCCAGTCTGCATTTATTTTCATTTTAAACAACTTCCCAACACTAAGCTGCATGCCAGTGATTTTGACCCTAGAAATCTCAAGAGGTCTCAAAAACTGAAAGCTGGGTGGAAGACCTGCAAGACCCTAGGAGCCAAAAAGGAAAAGGTCTCCAAGAAATATGATCTCGTTTGTAAGAAATTCCTGGAACTCTTTGAATAAACGCCAGATGCCATTACGACATGCCCTTTCTCCTTTTCTTTCTCCTCTGTCTCGTCATCCCTCCTTTCTCTTTGTGAATTTGTGTTGGGAGAACTGGGGGGAGTCTGACATTGGATGAGAGGGAGTTAGGGTGTTGAGGGAAGTTATGGCTATTCTATAATGTTGTAAGTTACAAAAATACTTTTGCAAATAGTGAAAAAATGGGAAAGAAGGAAGGTAAGACACATGGTGCACATCATTCTCTGTCTTTCAGTCTTGCTGCACTGTTGTAAGGGAGGGAGGGAGTGATGGGGTTGGCAGCTGAGAGTCCTGATTCTGCTCATGGGCACAGTTCCACTAGAAGCTCTGCTGTCCAAGAGAATAGTGGTGCAACAGGTGCTTCTTTAGCCAGCAATAGAATGCAGACTAGTTGCAGATGTCCAGTGCAGGCTGAATTCTAACATAACTTGGAGGCTACTTAGCACCATCGGAACATGTGTAATGTCCACAGCTTTCGTGCAGTACGATACAGAGGGATCAGTGATTAAAAGCTGTTTGTTTTTATTCCCAGCTGCCTGGAGGCCCCCTTCCTCCCCCCCGCCAACCTTCTTTTCTGCAGATATTAAAATTATATTATTTGTGTTCCGACAGCCAAATAATGTAGGCTGGAATTAATTAGTCTCATATAAACGTAGCCAGAAGCATAACTTTTCCTTTAAATATTTAATTTCTCCTGTTTTCTAGCCCCAAAGAATGTAGCACCATACCAGTCTCCATGTTAACCCTTTTCTGCTTCCTGTCTCAGCTCCAGCCAGAATTCTGACATTCAGTGGCACAGTAACAACCCCATGGATGAAGGATATTGTCCTCCCTTGCAAGGCGGTTGGGGACCCAGCTCCTACAGTCAAATGGATGAAAGAAAGGTAACCAGCAACTATATGTACATCTTCAGTAAGGACTGGGTGATCTCAGCTGCCTAATCATATGGAGCTGTAACATACAGTGAAGTAGAACCAAGAATTCACTTCCCTCTTTGCCCAATAGGGCATTTTCAGCTATTGGAAACCAGAGAAAGTAGAGCTAAGCTCCACTTGTTACCTCAGCACTGCACGGTGCAGCTTCAGTTGCTCTGACTTGTTAGGCCATCAAAACAGTCAGGTGACTGTTTTTGTTCCGCATGCTTGTTCTCCAGTTAATTTTTGTGGGCATCCCCATTTTATAGTACTTTTGTGCATCCCCTTGATGGCCAGTTTTCAATGGTGGTGTATCATGTTTTCATTAATTGAAACTGCCCACCTTCCTGGTACTGTTACTAGCATTTTAAAAGGAAAAAAAATGACATTTTAAAAAACACCTGTCTTCTTGCCTTTAAAATGCTAATAACAGCAAGGTGACCCCTATTTTGATTAGTGACACCATGCAGTGGTTGAATTAAACTGCTTTTATCTTCTCTTGTGGCTCTGATCTGAATCATGACTGCACATGCTTGTAATTTGCTTTTTACTAGCAAATGCTGATCTGTGATCTCTGCCATGTCTATTTTGACCCTTAGAATGGCAGTTTAACCTAAATGGAATATGAAATGTAGTAGATAGTCCAATAATACATGAGGCAGCCGGGCTGTTGTCTAGAGCTGGATATGGGGATCATATCAATCTTGTGTTTGAAGATCTGCAATGTCTGCCCATCTATTTCCAGGCAAAATTCAAAGGGTTTTAACGCCCTAAAGGGCTTGGGGACAGGGTACTTGCAGGTCCACTTTCTCTTGAATGGTCCAGCCTGCCAGCTAAGTGTCAGCCAGGCCTCTGTGCTACCCTGGCTGCCATGAGAGTGTGTGTGTGGGTAACTATGGGATCTTTACTCGTTTCTGCTGAATGTCTCTTGTTTTGGTTATCTTTCCCTGTAAGCCCAGCCATGTAACCTTGAGTGCCTGGTGTCTTCTTTCTCATGGAAAAGCTGGCCAGTTAGCTTGGCAGGCTCCTACTTGTCCTCTGGTTGGCCTTGAGACATTTTGGTTCCCCTTGAATGTTGTATATCTATTAGCTTTGTGTGCTTTATTTCTTTATTTAGTTCTAACACAAAACCGGTTAAGGTACCTGAATGCAAAAAAGATCTCAATAAACTGTACTTCTTCTGAATGACTGTTGTTGGGAGCTGACTGACTCAGGAGTAGGGGTGTGCAAAAAAACCCAAATTTCGACCCGATTTGGATTCGGCCGAATTGGGCAGAATCAATTGCAGCCAGCATAAAGACTCCTGCATGTCAATTTCGGCGGTAGGAACGGATTCAGGAGTCTTTCGGCCAGCCGAATGTCAGTTTCAGCCCCATTATATCCTATGGGCCATTGAAGTCAATTGCAAAAACATAGGGTATATCCTGGGGGCTGGAGGGGAGGGGGTTTGAGGGAGAGGCTCCAAACTCACACCCACTATAGAGAACAATGGAGGGGATAGGGGCAACCTGTTTGGGGGCCTGTAGAATTGGACCCCCTGGTCCAATGTTCTTCAAACCTGGTGGGGTTTTGCCATTGACCTCAATGGCCCATAGGATATAACGGGGCCGAATTGCCACCGAAATTCGGCGGAAATTCGGCGGCAATCCGATTCAGATCTGAGAATCTGAATCGGCCTTCAGCAGCCCGAAAGGGGTCCAAATGGACCATTTTCGGGGGTGCATTCGGTTCGGACGAACCGAATGCACATCCCTACTCAGGAGTCTAAGAACCTTTTCTTAAGCCCTGCTCTCTGTGCCCTTGGCCTGCAGAGATGAAGACAGCAGTGACCAGACAGAGCCTTTTCAGTGAGGGCTCCTTGTATTTGTAAGGCCCTCCCCATTTGACATTTGCCTGGCACCTAACTTACTCATTTTTAGGTGTTTCTTTTTACTAGGGCTGTCAGGTCTCTTGCTGTAGCAGATGTGCATTTGAGTGAAACTGAGCAGAAGATATACTGGGGTGGGGGAGAGAACCTATTTTTTTAATATATTTGGCATCACAAATATATTTGGGGATTTTGCAGTGTACCAAAAAATGGTCCTGGAAAATCCCAGACATATTCAGGATTAACTGGAAAGATAAGGAGCCAGCATTTGCAGGCTCCCCCCCCCCCCGTTTTTTTCCCTTTGTTTCTGTGTTTGCCAAGCATTTCAATGGATTGCCAGGCTGCTTCTGTCAGTTTCAAGAGGGTCTTTTTTTCCTTTGCAAGACTTGCTTTGCTTGGGTTTCTTCTGCTGTGATTCTCCAGTTTGACATTAAGCCTGTTGAGCTAGCACTGCCACAGTGGCACTGAGTTCTAGTGAGCTTCCACATACTGTCATTAGTTTAGCTAGGCTTGCAAAAGTGTCCCCCACCAAATATGCTGAACAGAGCCATCAGAGTATGGCATGGTGTCACTTCCAGGTTTGCTCCATTGTTCAGTGGCACCCTGCTCCCACAGTCTCTCACCAGGATCCAGCCACTGACGGGCAACCCTCCTTTTACCCCAGGTTTTTCAGTGAAGAGTTCCACCTTTATGATCTCCTTCTAGCCTGAGGACTGTTCTATGAATGCCCTTTTTGATGTTGCTTTTTATGTTGGTCTATACCCTGGTTTGGTTTTAATGGCATGTTTTATGGTTGTTCATTTCGAAAATTTTGTGCTGTTTTTATTTTTTTTTATTGTACTGTGTGAGTCACTTCAAACTGATCTCTGGAGAAGTGACATAAATTTTCTAAATGATAATAAGTTAATAAGCCCCCTCTTCAAATCATGCTGAGGACAACTACTGCTTTCTTTACCAATGCAATACTAGCAAATACTCTCAGCTTTGTTCAAGCTGGAATAATGTGCTGTCTTTGTTTATGCAATTTGTTCTGTGCTTTTTTTAAAAAAAGCCCAATCTTGAGTAATGTTGATTTTAACCTCTTTAATGTATGACATTTGTTTCCTGTGAGGTAGTAACGGGACACCCAGTCTAGTGATGATTGATGGGCGAAGAAGCATCTTTAGCAACGGCAGCTTTGTCATTCGTACTGTGAAAGCTGAGGATTCAGGATATTACAGCTGTGTGGCCACTAACAACTGGGGATCAGATGAAATTATTTTGAATTTACAGGTACAGGGTAAGTAGTAAAAACCTTCCTTCATATGCTTCAATGTGAATATGTATTCATTTTCTTTTATTTATGGTATTTATAGTCCACTTTTCTCACTGGGACTCAAGGCAGATTACACAGAGTGAGTCAATGCAATCAACAGATGGGACATCCAATAAACCATGAGTAAGGATCTGGGTTGCAGAACCAACTAGAAATCTTTTTTAAAATATCCAGAATTGAAGCAAGGCATAACATGATAGCTTCAGAAATTATGTTAATGGAAATATTTGGAAAGTGGTTTGAGGATTTCATTTTATGTCAGAAATACATGTGCAATTTTGATTTCATAACTGGTTGGTCAACTTCCATTGGAATTCAGAATTGTTTATAATGCCCTATGGCCTTGTTAGCCGCCCTGAGCCTGCCCTGGTAGGGAGGACAGGATATAAATCTAATATAAATAAATAAATAAATAAATTTGGCTGCAGATTTTCAGCAACACTGATTGATCTGCTCTCTGTGACTTTATGAAGGCCACAGCCTTAGTGGTTCATGCATTCATTGAGATCTTACCAAAATAGTCAGAGCGTAACCTGGGATTTGTGACAGGTGTGTTACAGTTTTGCCTAAGCTCATCTTGGCATGTGTTTTCCCAGCCTTCTGAAAGTTGATCCTGCAGGGACTGAAATGATGTGAAAGAAAAAATTAGGTTCATATATTCTGAATAAAATGATATAGATTTAAAATATCTAAGAAAAAGAGAAATCATCTACTCTTAACTAAAGATGTCAAATTAATAGATGCTTTGACTGATACAATTTGCTCTTTTTGCAGCCCAAAACAATTCTGCAGTAAATGCTTTTAAGAATAATTTGAAGTCATGCAAAATAATTTAATTCTCATTTCTGTTCTTAACTATTATTATCCAGTTCCACCAGACCAGCCTAGA